GTAGTAGTAGGAGTAGTAGTAGTAGTAGTAGTAGTCGTAGTAGTAGTAGTAGTAGTAGTAGTAGTAGTAGTAGTAGTAGTAGTAGTAGGCGCAGTAGTAGTAGTAGTAGTAGTAGTAGTAGTAGTAGTAGTAGTAGTAGTAGTCGTAGTAGTGGTGGGCGTAGTCGTACTACTCCCTGAATCCGAGGATAGGCTGATGGGTTTCTTGTTTTCACTCAGACACCTCTAAATCAGATCTCATTCACATTTCCTCTTCACCACACACTCGGACTCACTCATGCTCAGACTCAGATTCACTCACACTCAGGCTCACTCACACTTAGAGTCACCCGCACTCAGACTCACTCACAATCATCTTCACTCGCACTTGGACTCGCGACGCACTCGCCTCAGACTTGCAGATGCTGATTGTGAGGATGTCTCGAGCGAGGCGCTTGTCTCAGCACCCCAAGGTGTAGCCGACAGGGGTGGTTCCACTCCTGGGTTCCACTCCTGCGGCCAGATTGTGGGGATGTCTCAGGCGGTTTGCGTGTTTGGTTGCGCAGACCCCTTCCGGAGCTTTCAGAGCATATCGTGAGCATGACTCAGCCGATTTCGGGCTCAAGCGCCCCAAGAGGGAGCCGCCAGGGGTGGTTCCACGGCCCCGCTCGCGCTTAGATTGTGGGGGTGTATCAGGCGGTTTGCCTGTTTGGTTGCCCAGTGTTTCCAGAGATACCCATACGACCGCCCTTGGGGTGATAAGGAGCTTGCGGGGTGGATGGGGGAAGAACGAACTGCTCGCAAATGCGATGGTCTTGATGATGACAATGCAGGTGACGCACCCTCGAGTTAGCGACGACGAGTAATGACGATGTTGCGCTGCGATGTAATGTCTCTATCGCCCCCACTGTCTATCTCATAACCAATATCACAGTCAACCTCACTATTGATCTTACTGTTGATATCACTACCCATCCTGTTCTAGCGATCAGATTATCGATTTCACTATCGACTTATTATCGATACCAAGGCGAGACATCCCCCGTCACACCCCGCCCACCGCTAACGGAACACCGACGGAACACCAACGGGGCACCAGCGGGACACCATAGGACACCACGGCAGGACATTGCGGGTCACCGCGCGTCCACAGGAAGCGGAGGTGCGGTCCGCTGCATCCGAATCGCCCCAGCGACGGCGGGGTCATTCCTCTCGCGCGCCCACGCAGCTTCGCCTCGCCCGCACGTGCGACACGAGCACGAGACCGAAACCGATGTCCCGGTGGGGGGCTCTCCATTTCACCTCCGTTTCACTGCGATCTCACCCCCCACCCTCCGATTGTGAGGCTGTCTTCGGCGAGGCGCTGGTTCTTGCATCCCAAGAGGAAGCCGCCAGGGGTGGTTTCACTCCCGCGTTCGCGCCCAGAGTGTGGGGTTGTCTCAGTCGGTTTGCGTGTTTGGTTGCCCAGGCTCCTCCTGGTGTTTTCAGGGGATCTTGTGAGGATGTCTCAGTCGATTTGTTGGTTTCGGCAGACCCAAGGGGGAGCCGCCAGGGGTGGTTCCACGGTCCCCTTCGGGCCCACTTTGTCGGGATGTCTCAGGCGGTTTGCCTGCTTGGGTGCCCGGACGATTGCGCGATGTCTCGGCAGGTTCGCTTGATGCAGGGCCCCACGGTGGAGCCGCCTTTCACGGCCCCATTCGCGCCCAGAGTGGGGGGCTGTCTCAGGCAGTTTGACTGTTTGGTGGTTCGGACCCTTCTGCTGTCGGAGCAGATTGTCAGGCTGCCTCCGGCGGATTTTTCGTTCGGAAAACAGTGGAAAGGGCCCGGATTGTCCCGGAACATTTCGTTGTAGATTTCGAGGTGAATTTCGCGAGGACATCCACATGAAATTCACTTCGTTTTTCGCTCGCCGCGTCGGAGTTTTGCATTGACAGAAATCCACGCGAAAATCCGTTGAAGCACGTCTGCAAGGTCGGTGCAGTGTATGCTTCCAGAGCGTATTATGAGGATGTCTCAGCCGATTGATCGGTTTCAGCACCGCAAGGGGGAGTCGCCAGGGGCGGTTCCATGGCCCCCGCTCGCGCCCAGCATGTGGGGATTGTTCGAGGCGGTTTGCCTGTTTGGTTGCCCAGTGCTTTCGGAGATACCTATACGACCGCCCTTGGGGTGATAAGGAGGTTGGGGGGTCGGGGGGTGATGATGACGATGCAGGTGACGCGCCCTCGAGTTAGCGACGACGCGTGATGACGACTGTGAGGGGTTGGTTTGATTTCTCTTTCTCCCGCCAGAGAGCAGATTGTGAGGATGCCTCAAGCGAGGCGCTGGTTTCAACACCCAAAGGAGGAGCCGTCGTGGATCAGACTCTGACGATGCCTCCGGCGGGGCGCGGGCTCTGGAGAGGGGAAGCCGCCAAGGAGCAGGACACTCGCCCGTTCGCTGCCAGATTGTGGAGACGTCTCGTCGCGAGGTGCTCGTTCTGCGCTCGTGGGCTCCTGCCCACTCCGAGCCCACGAGCACCACGACGTGGGGGAGAGGACGGCCGCCGGGGAGGAGCACGGAGGGCGGGGAGGGGGAACTTGGAGGATGCAGGAGGAGGGGCAAGGGGGAGGGAGAGAGCGGATGGGGCTCCGGCCAGGAGGAAGAGGGAGAAGATGGGGCGGAGGCCGCCAGGAAGGGTGGGCGCTTGCATGGTGGAGGAGGAGGAGGGAGGAGGGAGGAGGGAGGAGGACGAGGACGAGGAAGGAGATGGACGCGAGAGGAGGGACAAGGATGATTGCCAGGGAGGGGGAGAGAGGACGGAGGCTTAAGGACGAGGTACGACGAGGAGGAATAGCAAGGACAATTCATAATATTCGTAATGATAAGAAGAACTGTTCACTGCGTGGAGCTCCCCATGTGTGCATCTCTTCGCATTGGCATTTCCGCCGTGAATGTCTAGGCGCAAGAAACTTCGAATATAAACGAGCTTGGATATTGACAGCATGGGAGAGAGTCTAACTGTGATTGGCTTTGAGTGTGCATGAGCCCCAGTAGTACGAGTGAGTCTATGCGCGTGAGCCTGCGCATGGCTAAGCTTAGGGTGAGAGTATCTGCACGTCAGTGGCCTGAACATGATTGAGCGTGACTGAATCCTCCTGGGGTCTCTTGGGGCTTCCTGGGGCTTCCTCAAGTCTCCTGGAGCTCCTGGGGCCTCCTGGGGCTCCTGGGGCCTTCTTGGGCCTCTTGGGGCCTTTCTGGGGCTTCCTGGGGCTTCCTGGAGCCTCTTGGAACTCCTGGGGCCTCCTGCGGCTTCCTGGAGCCTTCTGGGGCCTCTTGGGGACTCCTGGGGCCTCCTGGGGCCTCTTGGGGATTGCTCCTCCTTGAGCCTCCTGGGGCTTCCTGAGGCCTCTTGGGGCTTCCTTGGGCCTTCCTGGCGCTTCCTTGGGACTGAGCCTCCTGAGACCTCCTGGGTCCTTCCTGGCGCTTCCTGGGGCTTCCTTGGGCCTCGTGGAGCCTCCTGGTGCCTCTTGGTGCTTCCTGTGGCTTCCTGAAGTCTCCTGGGACCTTCTGGGGCCTCCTGGGGCCTCCCAGGCCTTCCTGGAGCCTGCTGGGGAGGATGCGTGCCCCAGGAGAGGCCCCCATCAGTAGGAACATATGTAAAACACTTAAGATTGGAACCACAGGAGAAGGATAATCTCTAGGAACATACGTAAAAACACAGGATTCGTGCCCCACAGGACGCCCGATCTATAGAACATGCGTAAAACACATAGGATTGGCGCCACAGGAGAAGGACACTCTATATGAACAGACGTAAAGCACAAAAGGATTCGTGCCTCAGGAGAGGCCAGATCTATAGGAACATATGTAACACACATAGGATCGGAGCCGCTCCTGGGGCCTCCTGAGGCCTCTTGGGGCCGCTTTCTGGAGCCTCCTGCGCTTCCTGTGGCTTCCTGGGGCCTCCTGGGACCTCCTGGGGCCTCCTGGAACTTCCTGAGGCTTCCTGGAGCTTCTCGGGGCCTCCCGGAGCCTCTTGTGGCATTCTGGGGCTTCTTGGGGCTTCCTGGAGCATCCTGGGGCTTCTGCAAATTTTTTCGACACTCCTAAAGCTTCCTCGGGGCTCCTGGAGCTCTTTGGAGCATCCTGGAGCCTCTTGGGGCTTCCTGTGGCCTCCTAAGCCTCCTGTTGCTTCCTGTGGCTTCCCAGGGCCTCCTGGAGCGTCCTTGGGCGGGCCTCCTAGGGAGGATCCGCGCCCACGATTCTGGCCGCCAAAACAGGCAAAACGCTCGAGACATCCTCGCAAACGGCTGCGGCGGCGAGACGCCACGGCTCTTTGGGGCTTGAGGCCTCTTGGGGGTTTCTTGGGTTTCTCATGCGGCCTTTTGGGGCCTCCTGGAGGCTTATTGGGGATTCTTGGGGGCTTGAGGCCTCTTGGCGCCTCTTGGGTCTCTCATGTGGCCTCCTGGGATCGCCTGGAGGCTTCTTGGGGACTCCCGGGGGCTTGAGGCCTCTTGGGCCCTCTTGGGTCTCTCATGTGGCCTCTTGGGGCTCTACTGGATGCTTCTTGGGAAATCTTGTGGGCTTGAGGCCTCTTGGGTCCGCTTGTGGCTCTCATATAGCCTCTTGGGGCCTCCTGGAGGCTTTTTGGGAACTCTTGGGGGCTTGAGGAGGAGGAGGAGGAGGAGGAGGAGGAGGAGGAGGAGGAGGAGGAGGAGGAGGAGAAGGAGAGGAGGAAGAGGAGAAGGAGGACGAGAAGCAGAGGGAGGAGGAAGAGGACAATGATAAGAAAGAGGAAGAGGAGGACGAGGACGGAGGAGGAAGAGGAGTAATTAAGAGAAGGAAGACGGAACATCCACATAATCTGCCCCCCACCGACAGCCATGGGCGCGCACGGATGCCGTGCGACTGGTATCGATTCGAGGCTACGCCGCTGGGGACCCCCGTGGAGAGCTCAATCCAACAAACCGCCTGAGTCATGGCCGCAATGTAAGCGCGCACTGAGGCCGTGCGACTGGTATCGATTCGAGGCTACGCCGCTGGGGGCCCCAAGGGGGAGCGAAATCCAGCAAACCACTCGAGACATCCTCAGAATCTGCTCTGAGCGCAGACGGGTCTGGCCGCCAAAACGGACAAAGCGCCTGAGACATCCTCAACATCTGCTCCGAAAACGAAGGATGTAAGGCACCGAAACAGGCAAACCGCCTGAGACATCCCCGCAATCTGGGCGCGAACGGAGGCCGTGAGTACCCCTGGCGGCCCCCCCTTAGGAGTGCGAACACCAGCGCCTCGCTCGAGACATCCTCAGAATTTGTCTTCAGAATTTGCTCTGAGCGCACACGAGTCTGGCCACCAAAACAGGCAAACCGTTCGCGACATCGTCGCAATCTGGGCCCCTTGGAGTGCGAAAACCAGCGCCTCGCACGAGACATCCTCGAAATCTGCTCCGGCAGCGGAGGATGTTGGGCATGCAAACAGGCAAACCGCCTGAGACGTCCCCGCAATCTGGGCGCGAACGGAGGCCGTGCAATACCCCCTGGCGCCCCCCTTAGGAGTGCTAAAACCAGCAAGCCGCTCATCATCATCATCATCATCATCATCATCATCATCATCATCATCATCATCATCATCATCATTATCATCATTATCATCATCATCACCACCATCATCATCATCAATATCATCATCATTTGATCATCAGCACCATCATTAATCGAGCAACATTCGTCACCATCATGTAATAGGACCACCATCCTAATCATCATCGCCATCATCATCTTCATCGGCGTCATCATCATCATCATCATCATCATCATCCTTTGTCATCGTCATCATCTTCAAATATCACCATCTTCATGCATCAGCATCATCATCGTCAAGTGAATAGAGGGGTGAGGGAGGGGAGGGGTGAGAAGGGTCCGGCGCGGTCAGAGTAAGAACACGACCCCCATCTCAGGATAAGGGGAAATATTCATGAGCACAAAACAACTAACAATAATAATCCAACTAAGAAGAACAATAACAATACAACTACTAATCCTAGTAATAAGAAAAAGGAAAGGGCAGGGAGCAGGTGCACCGCAGGAGGGAGGGCTACAAGGTGGAGCTCTCCTGGGATGCGTTTTCACTAGCAGTTCGAATCCCGGCGTAGCGATAATCATGGCGACGACGACGATCACGGTGGCGATGGCAACGGGGACAAGGACCGGGACGACCACGACGACACGACTATTGACGATCATTGCGAAGGTGGCCACGTCGACGACGACGACGACGGCCACGCCGTCTTCGTGGTTGTCGTCGTGGACGTCGTGGACTTCGTGACCGTCAGCGCCACCGTCGTTATTATAATCGTCTTGATCGCCGTCGCGCTCGTCGTGTTGCACGTCGTCGTCGGCGGCATCGTCGCCGTCGTGGTCGTCGTCGTGATCGTCGAGTTGGGCGCACCCGGCCTGGGAAGGCTCCAGAGCAGCCGCCGCAGCCCGACGAGCACACCTTGCTGTACCAGTTCCCGCCCACCCTGCGGATCTACTGCTCCTGCCCGAATCCGAAGGCAGGCAGCGAGACAAGGAGGGGCAATACGCAGTATTCAGAGTCGAAACGCTGAAACACGTGAATACGTCGAGTCGTAAGAATGAGCGTCGAAGCGGTGGTAGTAGTGGTAGTAGTAGTAGTAGTAGTAGTAGTAGTAGTAGTAGTAGCAGCAGTACTAGTAGAAGAAGAAGGAATAGTGGTAGTAGTAGTCGTAGTAGTAGAAGAAGAAGTAGTAGTCGTAGTAGTCGTAGTAGTAGTAGTAGTAGTAGTAGTAATAGTAGTAGTAGTAGCAGTGGTAGTAGTAGTAGTAGTAGTAGTAGTAGTAGTAGTAGTAGTAGTAGTAGTAGTAGTAGTAGTGGTAGTAGT